TCTCGCATCAGTGTTTCTATCTATCGGCTGCCTCCTGCATGCTCCCTGCTGGGGATCGATCCCATAACTTGGGCATGTGCCCTGATCAGGAATCGAACCCGGACCTCTCAGTCCATGGGACGATGCTCAACCACTGAGTCACACTGGCTGGGCAAATTTGTCATTTTTAAAACTCATGCTCCTAACTCATATTTTCCGTTTCTCCTTTTTATGTCTTTAAATATTTTTAACTTATTTATATGATCTTTTATGTCTGCTGTTTCCAGTGTCTGAAATCTTTAAAAAATGTGTGGTTTTACTGCCTGTTACAACAGGTCCTCAAATAATGTTCAACATCGTTTTATTATAATATCGATATGTGTACATAAGAACTTGATTCTTGTTTGTGTCAGATAGCCTGTGTTAAAATTGGTTTCACTGTACATCCTTTCAAGTAAAGTTGCAGAATTCTATTGACATTAAGTGAGGACTTAATGTAGTTCTGCTGGCTCTTTTTTTTTTTGGCTCTATTTTTTGATGACTTACTTCTCTATGTGTTCTGTGATTAAATGATTTACTTAGCTCAGATGAATGGAAATTTTGAGGCCCAGATTGATGGATTCCTCCAAAATTGATTTCTGTTTCCCTTTGCCATGTGCCTTGGATAGCAGCTGCCTGGGCCCACTTTAAATTATATTCTGGGACTAAGATCTTTTTAGATTACTTGGAAGTATGATTTCTGACTTATGGTTTTGAATTTTTCTAGAATTGTTTTTAGTCCCCTGCTAATTAGTTTTGATGTTTGAGATTAGAAATTATTCTTTCAGTCATTAAATCTGGCTTGTTTGATTGTAACCCACTCATGTTTGTTTATGTATTGTCTGTAGATGTTTTCCTGCTGCAGTGGCAGAGTTGAGTGGTTGCAACAGAAACCGTATGTTTTGCAATGGCTAAGACCTTTCTTATTTGGTCCCTTACCAAAAATTTGCTGACCCCTGCCTGAAAGAAATGGGCCCAGCTTGTTTCTGGTTCACCATTACACTAAAGATGCACAGTGAAGCCTCAGTTCTCGAACTTAATTCATTCCGGAAGGTTGTTCGAGAAGCAGTTTGTTCAAAAACGGAATCATTTTCCCATTAGAAATTATCTACATGGAATTAATTTGTTCTAGACCCCCAAGTGATTCCCTGTTTTAACCTTTCTTATATACAGTACCTAGTTAATGTACTGTTTAACCTATAAACAAACACTTCTTTTCTTAAATTTATCGAACCAGCCCCTACTCGCCTTAACCGAATCCCTTTCAGCACTCTGACCAGGGGTGTCTTTCAGGAGGTCAGTGTGCAGCGTCTTCACTTTTTCACTGTCACTACCTCCAAAATGCTGTCACTGCCACCTCCTGCGTTACCTTAGTCCAAGTCAGCGACGGCTTGTCACCCTCTTCCGTTGCATGTGATCATTGTTTCTTTTACTCCCTTAGCAACATTAGCACTCTTGATGGCCTCTTTATGTTTTTAAATTATGCTAATCGTTCATTTTGGAAAAAAAAAAAAAAAAAGCCCCATAAAAATATTTACAGCACAATTTCCTGAGATGTTAGCGGTAAACTGACTTATACTGGCGCATTCTCTCATTAGTTTGTGGCCTGAGAGACACATTTTGTCATGCTGATGTATCAGCAAGAAAGGGTTGTCAGGTCAAAATCAAAAACCCAAGCTTGTTCAACAACCCAGACATTTTTTCTGTGAGCAGCTTGGTGGAGAACCGAATTGTTTGAGATGAGAGATATTTGAGAACCGAGGTTTGACTGTAGTACTTTGGGGCCTTCTATTAATCTGCTCCACATGGCCTTTGACTCTTGTGCTTAGCGCCCTGCAAGGCATCAAAACCAAAGCTCAGTTCGCAGAGTCCGGTAAATGTCTTGGAGGAGAGAGCCTGTGTTGGCGCTCTGCTTATCTCTGTGGGTTCCTTCATTTTTGGCCTCTGATTGTACTTTGTTTTCTTGCCATCACATTGATTTGTTCATATTTTCCCATCACTGTTACTTATTTTCAGTGAGAGGGTTATTTAAAAAGATTGTGTTCTGTCATCTAGGAAATAGATATATGTTCCTGTTATCCTTGATTTTAATATATTTTAATCATTTTTGGCTTCTGTGAACAGCTTCTGTAGCTCTTTTCTCACGTGAAGCAGAATTTCGTTCTTGCATTATTTGTTAATCACAACATTAAATATTTCTCAGTCATTGTTGGAAGTGGCATGCTAGGGAAGATAAGTAGACAGGAATTGTTAAATCATTCTGCAGCATATTTGTTTTAAATTGCATAGGAAACATCTCAGTGATGCGTTTACAGTGTGTCGAACCGTTGGCATTGGGAATCCTCATCTCAGCAGATGCTGTTTTAGTTCTTGGCAAGCAGAGACTGAATGAAAACAGAGTGCCATGGGATTTCTCTTTATTCCTCGTATCCTCAGAGAGGAGGTCTAACATGTGGGCCATCCAGTAGCCTTCTTCACAGATGCCTCTCTGAATGCCTCCTGGCTAGTCACCCAGGCACTCCGTTAGGGCCTCCTGCACCCTTCCCTTCCTCTTTCCTGACAACAAGGTTTTACTTCTGCCTGGACCTCCCAACTCCTGCCCCTGTCTCCTGTTACTTCAGTTCAAGTCCTGGCCATGGGTTACAATGGGAGAGAAGAAAAAGGTCATACCTGTTCTAGGTCCCTCTCCAATATTTGCACCTGAAAACCCAACTAATTACCATGAGCCTGGGTATGCCTGTGAGATACGGGGAGTTTTCAGACCCTAATTTCCCATACCAGAGAACCACCATATCACCCGTCAGCGCATCCCTTGATATATGGGACAAAGGGCATGAGTATAGGTTAGAATGAACTGGATTATTGGATCTTGGGGCAACCCTTCACCACTGACATGGCCTGGAGCAAGTCATGTCACATGTCAGTCTGGTTCCTCATCTGCGCAGTGGGATCCATGCTTGCTTCCTGTAAAGTGTTGTGTTACAGTCAACATCGGATAAAGTAGGCAGTGACGTGTCGTAGCTGAGCAGAGAATGCTAGTTTCCTGTCCCCAACAGGCTCTAAGTTACGAAAGAGGAGAAAAATAGAGCTTCTTATCTTCCCTTATTTTTGTAAGCGGTAAAAACTTTAGAAAACCTAAATTACTTCAGAGGTAGACAGATGGGTAGGAGGAGATGCTATGGGAAAAGGAAGACCCATGAGGAAACCCGAAAACAAGGGGACGGAAAGGGACCACGGCCTGTCCTCAGCTGTCTGTGTCTTTATGGTTTGCTTGTAATTGCTCTGTATAGTGGTCAGTTTGAAATGCCTTCTAGCACTTGCAGATTTAAAAACTGGCCATGACCTTGACCACTGTTTTTATTCATCTGGTGAATGTTCTTATTTAAATGGTTATTTTATTTTTAGTTTTCATGGAGTCATTCATCTCAGAACTACTTTGGATAAACTGTTCTAGAAATTCTGTCTATTGACATTTAGATTTAAAATTTTTTATCTGTTTAGGAAGGTGAACCTTCTGGAAAGAGAAAAGCAGAAGATGATGATAAAGCAAATAAAAAGCATAAGAAGTACGTGATCAGTGATGAAGAGGAAGAAGATGATGACTGAAGTACAAAATGTGAAAACATTTTATATATTGTACAGTTTGTTTTATAAATATAATGTAAACATGAGTTATTTTGATCGAAATGAACTGATTTGCTTTTCTGTAATTTTAATTGTAATAAATTTTTTTAAAATTAAGTCTGTATTCAAGAACTGATTTTTCCCAAAGCAATTGATTTTGTTAACAATCTTAGGTTTTATTATTTTTATTTATTCATTTACTGAGTCTTAGGTTTTAGTGAATTCCTGCTGCTCTGATGCCTCCCCTTCCATCTCCACGAAGCCCCGGGCATGGCCAGGCGAGGCCAGTGAGGCCTTCTCCTGGGGCACGGATGCCAAAGGGTCACAGTTCGTAACTGTATTAGTTAGCTAGGGCTGCTGTAACAGAGCACCACAAACTGGGTGGCTTCCAACCACAGAAATGTATTCTTCACAGTTCTGGAGCCCGGAAGTCCCAAATCAGGTTGTCAGCAGGGCCATGCCCTCTGAAGGTGCTGGAGGAGAACCCTTCCTTCCTTGGGTTGGCTCCTGGGGACTCCCAGCTCTCCTTGGCTTGTGGTATCGGGACTGCAGTCTCTGCCTCTGTCTGCACAGGACTTATTCCCTGCGTCTGCTCTGTCTCTGTGTCTCTCCAGATCTACCTCTCCCAGACCAACACCAATCAGTGAGTTTAGTGTCAACCTTAACCCAAGGTGACCTCATCTTAACCAATTACATCTCTCTAAGACTCTATTGCCAAATAAAGTCCATTCTGAGGTTCTGGGTGGATATGAATTTGGGGGGATTCCCAGTAATCAAGATCAATAATGCAACATTTAAAAAATTAATGTCAAAAAACCTCATGATGAGTGAAGTGTCAACATTTTACATAAAGACAGGATCTGCTCTCTCCCTGCCGAGTGTGCGGCTGCTCTCGCCATGTCTTCTCACAAGACTTTCAGGATCGAGCGGTTCCTGGTCAAGAAACAAACAGAATCAGCTCATTCCCCAGTGGATTTGGATGAAAGCTGGTAATAAAGTCAGGTACAACTCCAAAAGGAGACACTGGAGAAGAACCAAGCTGGGTGTGTGAGGAAGAGCAGATAAGGAATATGCTGTGTCCAGATTGCTCACAATTTAACACATCACCGGAGAGATCACTGCTGTCTGGACGGTTGAACGTGTTTTACTGGGACATTATTGAAAGAATGATTTTTCTCTGTGTTAATGTATTCCTGCTGTAGTAGGTTGATTCAGTAATAAACATGTGAGGCCTTTAAATAAAGACAGTAGGTGACAGGGCTGGGCTAGGGTAATGCAAGTGAGAACTTCACAGTGCAGAGCTGGCTGGGTTCTCTCTTTAAAATTGGTAGTTCATGGGGTTTTTTGTTTGTTTTTTGCAGAGTGTTTAAGAGATACTGCAATAGTATTTGTTTCGATCGCTGAGATTTTGGCATCCCTTGTATTTTCCACCCAAGGTGAGTATCTCCTCACATCCTGGTCCTGGCCCTGCTTTCTCACAACATGGTGGCTGAGCCCAAAGGGGAGTCCCACAGAGTGAGCCAGGTGAAAGCCGATTTCCTTTTCTCGGTGTTTCTTATTATAACTAGCACTGAAAGTCACGTTCTGTTCATTAGAAGTGAGTCAGTATTGCGAGCTCACGTTCAAAGGGTGGGAAGTTGGACGCCTCTTGATGGTAGGAACGACAGAGAATTTGCAGATATGTTTAAATCCACCCCCACACTGTCTTTTCTGTGGTGCCTTCTGATTGGACTGTGCCCACTTCCTTCCCAGTGCTGTTAGTACAGTCTGGCAGTGCTGGCTGCGGGAAGCCTGTCCAGGGACAGAGAAAAGCGACATCGAGAAGAGGATTCTGAGTCACCATCATGTCACTTTCCTGACAAACTGTCAGTCCCTTTGCCATTTCTTGGGTTACCAAGTTGGAACTCCTTTCCTGGCTGCTAAGAGCCTTCATTCTGACTTTCCCTTCCAAGGCAACATCGTTTTTTTTGTTGTTGTTGTTTGTTTTTTAAAGGAAAAAAATTAGTGTTTTAATATTTTTAATTATACTAATGATTTTTTTAAACCTTTTTTTAAATCATCTCCCGAAGGTTTTTTTTTTTAAATTTTTTTCTTTATTGATTTTAGAGAGAGAGGAAGGGAGAGGAAGAGAGATGGAAACATCAATGAGAGAGAACAATTGGCTGCCTCCTCCCACTGGGGATCAGGCCCACAACCTGGGCATGTGCCCTGACTGGGAAACGAACCGTCAACCTCTTGGTGCATGGGTCAACACTCAACCACTGAGCCACACCAACCGGGCCCAAGGATATTTTTTCATTTATCTTCAGATAGAGTAGGAGGGAGGGAGGGAAACACTGATGTGAGAGAGACGCATCGACTTGCCTCCTGCATGACCCCTACCAGGGCCGAGGACTGAACTGCAACTGAGGTACGTGCCCGTTACCAGAATCGAACCCAAGACTCTTTGGTCCATGGGCTGATGCTCTAAGTGCTAAGCCAAACCAGCCAGGGCTACAATAATGATTTTTTAATGGAGAAAAATTTGTACCTATACAATAGTTTGTCACAGTAGTATATAGTAAAATTAGACTGTTTCAAGACTTATTTATTTATTTTTTTATCCTCACCCGAGGATATTTTTCCATTTTTTGTACAGATAGAGTGGGAGGGAGAGAGAGGAAGAGAGAGAGAGTGAGAAACATCAACGTGAAAGGGACACATCGAGTGGCTGCCACCCGCACGACCAACCAGGGCCGGGGACAAATTGCAACCGAAGTACGTGCCCTTAGCGGGAACCGAACCCGGGACTCTCCGGACCGCAGGCCGACGCTCTAACCGCTGAGCCAAACCGGCCAGGGCTCAAGACTTATTTTTTACAAATTTGTCAATGATTTTGTGACAGTTTCATTTTAAATGCATATTTATTTTCAAATAGGTATGTTTGTCAGTTTTTACTTACAGTTTATCAAAGAGCACTTCATTAATTTTAATTTCAAAAATTCTCATAAAGCATCAGATACTTATTATTAGGAAAAGTTACACATAAGGATACGTTGACAGAGATTCATAAAATCTCGTTTCACAATAAATGCCAGAAATTTCAACTCTCCCCTTCTCCCCTGGATTAATTCTAGCAGTTTTCAAATGTCTCTGCAGTGGAAAAAATAAAACAAAAACTCTCCTCACATAGAATGGCAGAAGTGAAGTCAAGTTCTATTTCTTAACCTTTATAATTGTGCTATTGACTGTTTAAACACAGCAATGCATAGACCTTCATGAGTTGAAAAAAACAAACCACCTAAATGAGCTTGAATTATCCCAAACTGGCGCAAAACTACTCTTTAAATAAACACACGTGACTGAACCCCTGGTGTTGGGAGATTGATTGTATAACAAGAGTTCCCCAAAGTAACTTTGATGTATATACAACATTAATTTAAAGATAAATCATAATGTGCTAATTTGGATATTGCACATATATTATTTAAACAGCATTCAACTGTAATTGCAGCAAGTGTAAAATTAGAGCAACAGAAGCTTTGTTTCCGGAAAGAACATTTCATCATTGACATTAGTTAGAATTGCTGGCTACCTTTATTGAGCAGTTCTAAGGTGGCTCTCTCCCATCTGTCCTTTCTCGAACCCTCACTGTTGGAAGACACCATTTTTATGGATGGCTCTCATTCCTGATCTGTGAACTGAGGCACCGGCTGCCATTGTTCTAGACGGACTGTCTTCCCAAGAAGCGACATAGAACCTAGTTTTCTTTTTCTTCCTTTTTTGTTTTAACCAGTAGACACTTGGGTGTCAGTTATTAAGGTCCTGTCTCTTGTCTCCGAACCCACCCTAATACCCAGCTTAGCGATGCTGGGGCCAAGCACATTCCGCTTTGCCAGCGGCCCCCTGTTAGGGGGCGCCACAGAAAGCCTGGAAGGCTGGATAGCAAAGAGAAGAGTGCTCCTTCCTGTTTGTGTATGGTCCTTTCTGGGGGCTTCCTGTCACCCTGCAGTTTTCGGCCGGCGCTTCCTCACCCCAGCAGGGGCAGCTTCTTCCCACAGCAGGTCCGTCCAGTCTGCAGTTTTGCCGACATTTAGCTGTATTGTACTCCCCTGGGAGACATCGGTCCCCTGCCTCGCCTCAGGTACAGGTCTGCGTCCCAAGGGGCCCTTCCTGTAAGTTAAGTCGAGTAACTCCAGCTCTCTGTTCCCTCGTCTTGAGGGGTGGGAGTTGCTGTCAGCATTTGCTCCTTTGACTTCTCTTTTTATACTTTTTGTAACTTAACAACTTTAAACTTAATTATAATTTTTAAATTCTAGTTGTATAGACAACTGGTATGTTTTCTGTTGCCCAACCAGGATCTGAGGAAAAACATCCTGAAAGATGCGATTTGGAGATGGTTTGGGTTTGAGCGCAGGTCTAGGCTCCTCACCAGAGGGAAAGCAGGGTGCTGGCAATGGTTACCCCCTGTGGAGGGCTCTCGTGGCTGCTCCCTTGCTCTGCAGTGATGACTAAGGATTTCTGTGTGGGATGGATACTTCTGCGCGTCCCAGAGCGCTTACAGAAACAAAATCACAAGCTTAGGTCTTTTAAATTTTTATTTATTATTTTTAAAAATGTTTTTATCGATTTTTTAGAGAGAGAGGAAGGGGGAGACAGAAACATTGATGTGAGAGATGTTTGCCTCCTACACTACCCACTGGGGATCGAGCCCGAAACCTGGGCATGTGCCCTGACTGGGAATCAAACCGGGACCTTTCAGTTCATGGGACAATGCTCAACCGTAGAGCCACACCAGCTGGGCATTTTTTTTTATCCTCACCCGAGGACATTTTTACATTTATCTTCAGATAGAGCAGGAGGGAGAGAGGAAGAGAGAGAAATATCGATGTGAGAGAGACACATCGAGTGGCTGCCACCCACATGACCAACCAGGGCCGGGGACAAACTGCAACCGAGGTACGTGCCCTTAGAGGGAACCGAACCGCGGGCTGATGCTCTAACTACTGAGCCAAACTGGCCAGGGCTATTTATTTTTTTAATCCTCACCTAACAACATGCTTAGAGAAAGGAAGGGAGAGAGAGAGAGATTGATGTGAGAGAGAGACATCGATCCGTATGTGACCCAAGAGAGAAAGAGGCAAAGCCACAAGTTCATGGCCTCGCCTGGGAAGTGAGGTTGTACTCAGTGGATCACACAGACCAGGGCGCAGTGTTGGAGGGACCACACCAGGCCAAGGGCACCAAAGGCAGGGATTGGGAACCATCTGGAAAGCTGTCTGTCTGTCGCAGCAGCTTTGCCTTCCACCAGTCGAATTTGTCAGCTTCGTCCTCCGTAGATACTCTCCTCCGGCTTCTGAGGGCCATGTGCTGGGAGTCCGGCTGAGGTTAGGTTTGTCAAGATTTGGTTTCTGAATCTTGGGAATATGTTGATGTGATAGGCTAAGAACTGTGTGAAGACTTTTTCAGAGAAATTAATACTGTGCATTTCCCCCCAGCACTGAAGCTTATGGTGGAACCATGGATCTGTTTGGAGACATAGATGACATTTCTTCAGAGAGTGATGATGACAAGCAGCCGCCTATGCCCGGACAGCCCATTGTAAGTACCATCACTCCCCCCCAACCGGTCCCCTGCTCAAGGGTAAGACATTTATTTCCTGAGGCTGGTGGGCCTGGTGCACTCGTGGGGGGGGGAGGGGGACTGGGAAACAGGGAAGAGGGGGAGAGGATGACATTTTAGGGAAATGCCTGGAGGGGTCGCTGATGGCTTTATCCCTAAACCAGCATCTAAAGTTACTTGCGGCCAAACCTGCAGCTGCCTAGTGGGAGGAGAGCCACAGGGGTTGGATGTCATGGCAGGGCTCACATCCCGATTCTTCCCCAGGGTGCGAGTGGACCGCCTCCTGACCAGCAGCAGGAGGAGCCAGCTGCTGAAGCCAGAGCAGAAGTAGAGATTCCCCGCTTCAGCTCTGACTTAGGAAATGAATTGTACTTTGTTAAGCTACCCAAATTTCTCAGCATAGAACCCAGGTAAGAGTAGTGATTCAATTTTTCTTTTTCTCAAAGTATGTATTTTTATTTTATTTTTTTTCTTTATTGATTTGAGAGAGAGAGGAAAGGAGAGGGAGAGAGAGATACAAACATTGATGAGAACATCGATTGGCCGCCTCCTGCATGCCCCCCACAACCTGGGCATGTGCCCTAACTGGCAATCGAACCACCAACCTCTCGGTGCATGGATTGACACTCAACCACTGAGTCATACTGGCTGGGCTTTCTCAAAATATTGGATAAAAATATGTAGAATGTAAATGTTTTCCCCCTTATTTATCATGAGTTGGCTAATCACAAAGATGGGAGATTTCTCATGTAACTGAAAAAATAAGTTTAGGATGGTCTGTGGTAGAAAAATGATGGATTATTGGTGTGAGAGAGTTTTAGTGCTAATAATTCTTCCAGCGTTTTGGCACTTTTCTTATAAATAAACAGACATCACAACCGATGAAGGTGTTTCGCATAAAGCTTAAAAATCAGAAAATGAGTGAGGAAGTTTGCTAGGGAAATTGCAAATGCTCAGCGTGGAAGCCTACGCAAGTCTAGAAAAGACAGTGATTTTGGACATGGTATGTTAATTGGTTTTACTCACAAAGGTGCGTGAGCAAGCAATTAAATACAATACTTTTTTTTATCCTCACCCAGGGACACTTTTGCATTTATCTTCAGACAGAGTGGGAGGAAGAAAAGGAGGAAGAGAGAGAGAAATATCGATGTGAGAGAGACACATCGACTGGTTGCCACCCTCACAACCCCAGCCGGGCCAGGGACGAACCCCAACCGAGGTACATGCCCTTAACGGACACCGAACCCGGGTCTCTCTGTTCTGCGGGCCGACGCTATAACTGCTGAGCCTAACTGGCCAGGGCAACACAACACTTTACAAATATGGAGACAGGTCACGTATCACCTGTGTTTTAGAAGATGTGCTTTATCAAGCAAGGAAGGACTAAATTACTAGTCACCTTCAGATTTTATTTCATGTAATATGTTTTTAAATCAAATTTCAAGAAAGTAGAGTCATTTTCATAATTCTCTGTTGTTCTTAACATGAAGTGATTTGTCTACTGTGATTTTTGAAAAACATATTGGTGCTTGTTGTAAAGATTATAATTTGTAGTATTAATCAGATTCATTACTAAACATGGCTGATATGACATTAAAAAACAATTTTTAGACCCTTTGATCCTCAGTATTATGAAGACGAATTTGCAGAGGAGAAGGTGCTTGACGAGGAGGATAGCACCAGATTAAAGTTAAAGGTACCGGTTCACTGTAACCCTGTTTGTTTGGTGTTTTTGTACATTTTTTCTTTTATAAAGTAAAATGCAGAGATAATAACTTGAGACTTGAGCTTATGAAATATCTTTTATGTGTACTGTTCAATCAATAAGTAACAGTTTCAAACAAGGAATTAAGTGCCTTTTAAGAATATTTTTAGGAGAGAAGGTACATCATCTTTTTTTAATTCCTGTAGAATTGTCACCTTTCTAATCTTTTATTTGTAGTTGTAATTTTTTGACAGAAGTAAAGATAAAAATTTTTGAAACTCGGCCACTTCTTTTGGGACAAATGCTCCGCACGCAGCGAGGGGCAGGACTGCCTCAGGCCCTCTCCGAGAACCAGACTGTGCCCCCGAGGGGCGGGGTGGCCGCGCACTGCGTGGCTTCCACGGGTTCGCGTGCGCTTCTGCTGGGCCTCTTGGGCGCCGTGGGCAGGACCCACTTCTATGCTACTTGGGTGACTGAGTTTCCTACCACATGGGTAGGGGAAAACTTGAACTAAAAAACAGGACAAAGCACAAGTCTCAAGTTTTAATTTGTTGTTAATTACTTAATAGTTTATTCTTATAAAGTGTTATTTGATATAATGCTCAGTTCTTGCTTTTTTTTTTTTTTATCATCCTCACCCGAGGACATTTTTCCATTTTTTGTTCAGGTAGAGTGGGAGGGAGAGAGAGGAACAGAGAGAGAGAGAAACATCGATGTGAAAGGGACACATCGAGTGGCTGCCACCCGCACGACCCAACCAGGGCCGGGGACAAACTGCAACCGAGGTCCATGCCCTTAGCGGGAACCGAACCCGGGTCTCTCCGGACCGCAGGTCGATGCTCTAACCGCTGAGCCAAACCAGCCAGGGCGCCCAGAGCTTTCTTATCTTACTAGGCGAATGGCACTTTTTGAGTCCTTCTTTCATCAGATTCGAAGCCCTTCGAGTGGCCCAGCAATAGGCGGAGGTCTTTTTTTTTTTTTTTTATATCCTCAAGCAAGGATCTTTTTCCATTGATTTTTAGAGAGTGTGGAAGGGAGGGAGGGGGAGAGAGAGAGACAAAAACATCTATGTGAGAGAGATGTATTGATTGGCTGCCTTCAGCACGTGCCCTGACCAGGGTTGGGGATCGAACTTGCAACCCAGGTACGTGCCCTTGATTGGGAATTGAACCCGTGACCCTTTGGTTTGTAGGCCGACGCTCTAACCACTGAGCAACACAGGCCAGGGTGGTCTCGGTTTTAACTGCCTACTGCAGGTGGACCCAAAGCCTCATCCTCTGTCCCTTGAAGCGCTCGATGTGCGGATACTAGCTCCGTCCTGCATCGTGTTTAGCTTCTGCTTCCAGTGCTATGAGCTGGGGCTCAGAAAAGATTTAAACAACATGTGTGCTCAGTTTAACCAGTCTCTAGGTATTTGCAGCAGGAGGGTTTCAGTGTGGCCCCATCAGCTACGTTTGGAACCTTACTCTGTCACTACCTATGCACCTTTGGCTCATGGTCATAAGTCACTTGGGGAGAAAGAACATGGAGCCCGTCGCCCTGGGTGGCTAATGCCTTTATGTTTTGAGCCAGGTGGAAAATACTATTCGATGGCGGGTACGCAGGGACGAAGGAGGAAATGAAGTGAAAGAAAGCAACACTCGGATAGTCAAGTGGTCAGATGGAAGGTGAGCACGGCGCCTGCCTGAGGAGGGCTGAGGTCCCCAGAGGGAGGCCTGCGGTGTGTGTGAAGTTTTCTGGGCAGGACTTTATTCTGAGGTCATCTTTAATTAAACTGAACAAACTGGGCCTCTGGCTTCCCTGGGAAAGTGGAGAGAAGTAAACGGGTTGCGATCCCAGTGCTGCGCGGACGCGAGGCGTTAGAACAGACACGATGTGATGGAATTCGTGGGGCCTCCCTGCCGAGCGGAGGCCCGATGTCAGCTCCCGTGTGAGCTGTCAGACATGTGCTCTGAGAACCTGTTTGTTCCACTATTGAAGAGGTAGAGATGGGGAAATGAGCAAACAACCATAGTTCAAGCTGAAAGGAGGATGGATTTTTAGCACCTTTTGCTTTGGAGGGAGACAGGTTAGTTATTTACGGTATCTTTTCTTAGGATGCAGGATGAGAGGGCCCTGCAGCTCCACAGCATTTAAAAAATTTTTTTTCTTTATTGATTTTGGAGAGAGAGGAAAGGAGGAGAGAGATGGAAACATCGACGAGAGAGAACATCGATTGGCCGCCTCCTGCATGCCCCTCACTGGGGATCGGGCCCACAACCTGGGCATGTGCCCTGACAGGGAATCGAACCCGTGACCTCTTGGTGCATGGGTCAACGCTCAACCACTGAGCCACACCGGTCAAGCTCCACAACATTTTTGTTGTTGTTAATCCTCACCCAAGGATATTTTTTCCATTGATTTTTAAAGAGTGGAAGGGGGTGTGGGAGAGGAGAGAGAGAGAGAAACATCAATGTGAGGGAGGCACATTGATTGGTTGCCTCCCGTACATGCCCTGACCAGGGCCAGGGATCAACCTGCAACCCAGGTGTGTGCCCTTGACGGAGCAGTGAACCCGAGACCCTTCAGTGCGCCGGCTGATGCTCCAGACACGGAGCCCACACCGGCCAGGGCTCCACAGCGTTTTAAGGGACAGTAACGGTACATGGCCGCTGGAGCATGGGTTAACCAGCCACCCTAGTAACTGGCCTGCTTCTCGTTTGCAGCATGTCCCTGCACTTAGGCAGTGAAGTGTTCGATGTCTACAAAGCCCCCCTGCAGGGCAACCAGAGCCACCTGTTCGTCAGAGAGGATTCCGGGCTGCAGGGACAAGCCATCTTTAAATCCAAGCTCACCTTTAGGTAACTGTTCATACTGATGCAGTGTTATCTGCAGTTAGAGGGCCACGTGGGAGAGAGGTTGTGCAAAAAGGCTCTTGGCCCTGACGACCTGCTTGGAGGTGCAGTTCACCCAGGGCCATGGGCTGGTTCCCGGACTACTTTTCACCTTTGCCGCGAGGTGGTTTCTCAGGGAGCCGTTCGGGCCCTCGGCCCACGGCCCACGAGACCCTGTGTAAACCGGGCGACCGGTGTATTGACGCGCTTGGATCAGTGCACGCGGAGGCGGCTGAAGGCCTGTCCGTGCCCCTCTGCGGGTCAGCGTGTCCCTTCCCTTTGCTGACACTGTCCGGGCAGCCAGCTGCTCACGCGGAGGAGGGTGTGTGCGCAGGCGCGGAAAGGGAAGCTGTGGGCCGCGTGGCCGGCAGCTGCCTGGCCCCACGCAGGTCGGGGCTGTGGCGTCGGTGCTTCGGCGCCTCCTCCCCGCCCCTCCCCCTGAGGGGACGCTTTCAAGACAGCAGCGGTGAGGCCTCTCAGCGGGCATGGGCAAGTTCTGAGATCGGATTGCAGGAGTGGTTGTGAAACTTTGTGAATTAAAATGCTTGTTTAATTGTATATGAAAATGGGTGAATTTCATGGCGTGTAAATGATGGTCGAGACATCTGCTGCTCTGGGCTAAAGGCTGTCATGGTGGCCCGGGCTCGTGCCTCGCGGGTCTCGCCCGGTGAATGTGGTTTCCTCATCTGTGAGGTGGAAACGCCTGCGTCACGGGGATGTGGAACCCGCTGTCAGAGAGCAGTCACGCTTCACACGGCGAGACCGGCGCCCCGCTGTCGCCAGTCCCGCTCCCGGGGTCTCTTCCGGAACCGCGTCCTCGGACAAGGGGCTGGGTGTGCTGTTCTCGCCGCCCCGCGCTCCGCCTGGGGAGACGCTTCCCCGTCCATACCCTCCATTCCTTCCGTCCCATCGCACAGCCACGCTCTCCTTGCGGGCACCCTCCTCAGGACCGTCCCCTCTCCCCAGCCCGGACGGCGGTGCATTCCGCACGGCCTCCTTTCCCGGGTGGTCCCTGGGCTGTCAAGAGGTCCCCTCCTCTGCGATGCCTCCGTCGTCAGTTCCTACACCGCGGCCTCCGCGCCTTCCGGCCTCCGCGCCCCCCGGCCTCCGCGCCCCCCGGCCTCCGCGCCCCCCGGCCTCCGCGCCCCCCGGCCTCCGCGCCCCCGGGCCTCCGCGCCTTCCGGCCTCCCGCCCCCCGGCCTCCGCGCCCCCCGGCCTCCGCGCCCCCCGGCCTCCGCGCCCCCGGGCCTCCGCGCCTTCCGGCCTCCCGCCCCCCGGCCTCCGCGCCCCCCGGCCTCCGCGCCCCCCGGCCTCCGCGCCCCCCGGCCTCCGCGCCCCCCGGCCTCCGCGCCCCCGGCCTCCGCGCCCCCCGGCCTCCCGCCCCCCGGCCTCCGCGCCTTCCGGCCTCCGCGCCTTCCGGCCTCCGCGCCTCCCTTGTGGAGCAGATTCCTACCCCTCCGCTTCTGACTGTAGTCGGGGGCTTTCTCAGTAAACGCCCTGGACCTGCCCGGGCCAATCCTTCCATCCCCTCCCACCTCACCCTTCACGTTCTTCAGGGGTGGGGTGGACGGTGGGGCTTCCGGGGAGCCAGAGGACGAGGGGTTCAGGAGCACCAGGATCTGGGGCCCTGCCTCCTGCGCGGCTGCGGGCAGGTGGCCACTGCCCACAGCTGTTCGCGCGCTGTGGTGGCCTCAGATGCTCTTCGTAAACAGCCATTTTTGTTCATTTCCGGCAGACCTCACTCTACCGACTACGCCACTCATAAAAAGATGACCCTGCCGCTTGCGGACAGATGCGCAGGGACCCAGAAGATTAGAATCCTGCCGATGGCTGGCCGCGATCCCGAATGCCAGCGCACGGAGAAGATTAAGGTTTGTGGGCTGAGTTCATCCGGGGTGTCTGGTGTTCAGAGCTGTGCTTTCCAGAGTGTGAATCCACCGTTTCTCACCGCCACAGCCAGCCTGTCTCCTGTAGTAACGGGGGGCCAGCTCACCCTTCTAAACGTGTAGCGAACCACAGTGACGGCAACAGCCACAGGGGAGGTACAGCAAACCGGACACTCGGTGCTCTCTCTCCAGTCTGAGATTTCACACGACAGTGGATCATTTAAAAAAATAGTGTAGTCTTTGACAGATATCATAAAATTGTGTTAGCCAGGTAAGAAGTGGTATAGGAAGTTCAAAAGGACATGCGTGACTTATTCGACACTGGCTCTGCCTTGTGAACCCCAACCTGTGGAACGCCAGGCAGATGGAAGGGGCCCTCCCCTGCCTGCACCTTCCCATCCTGGCGTCAGGAGCCGAGGGGCCCAGACAGGAATATCTGGGCGCTGTGGTGGTTTGGTGGAGCCCGGGCAAGTCAGGTGTCTGTGTTGGGTGAACAGAAACAGCCTCCCTCTGGCGCTGGCATTGCTCACTGGATGGCATTGCTCAGGCTGGTGGCTGCTCTCTGGGCTCTGACTGGCAGCACAGGGGCCGGTGCAGCTCCCGAGACTGTGCCTGTGCCCGTCCTGATCAGATGGCGAGTGTGAGGAGCCTTCTGCCTCTCCCCCTGCGTGGCCTTCGCGCCTTAGACCTGAACACGGCCGTCACTGTGTGTGGTGACAGGTGTGGCTTGGAGACATCTCTAGTTTGAAGACAGAGGGGACAAAGTAAAATAGGTTCAAGTGGACACAAAAGTCGTTCATCTTTAAGTTAAATGATTTTTTGCTTCTTTACAGAAAGAAGAAGAACGTTTGAGGGCTTCTGCTCACCAGGGGACAGTCCATCTCCGGGAGAAGCAGAACCAGCAGAGGCCGAGTGCCCCCTACCAGGAGTCCAGTAGTGACAGCGAGGAGGAAGGTGAGGAAGTCAGGGAAAACCAGTATCAAGGGGACGGGGAGGTGAGTCGGGTGTGGAGGTGACGTTTCATCTCTGGGCCGCTGCGCCTGCTTCTGCTCTGGTGGGCTCATTCCCTGACCTGCTGTTACTTCCTCAGGACAACAGATCAGAAGTCTTTTTTAAAAAAAAATATTTTTTCTTTATTGATTTTAGAGAGAGAGGAAGGGAGGAGAGAGATAGAAACATTGATGAGAGAGAACATCAATTGGCCGCCTCCTGCACACCCCTCACTGGGGATCAGGCCCACAACCTGGGCATGTGCCCTGACTGGGAATCAAACCAGCGACCTCTTGGTGCATGGGTCAACGCTCAACCACTGAGCCACAGCAGCTGGGCTGTTTTTGTTTTGGCTACTTTCCCACAGAAAAGCTAAGCTGGGAAAATAAGGCAAAATAAAGAAAACCAATGAAATAATTCTTTCCATATGGAGGAAAATGTGTAATAGGCAGTTTATCTGCTCATATAATTAAGGACCCAATATTTAAACTTGGTAGTTTTTTAAAAATGTGTGCTTAAAGTCTCTTGGGTATTTAAAAATGATCTCACAATCTTTTGATTGTCAGCCCCTAGGATCAAAGTCACTTCAGCATGTCTGGAAGTTATACAGTGGTGGGCAAAGGTAGGTTTACAGGCGTTTGTATGGAAAAAGACATGCAGGTTATGGTTATCACAATAGCTTTATTAACTCAAAAGAATGTCATAGCACAGTGCCATTAGGTCCAATCTCATAAGAGCACAAATTGCCGGCCCTCATCATTTATACATTCTGTAGTCTACTTGCTATACTCAAGCACACTTGGGCAGAGTCCTTACCTACCTGTGCCTCCCTCTGTATGTGCCTTCTTTTTAATTTTTTTTTCTTTATTGATTTTAGAGAGAGAGAGGAAGGGAGAGGGAGAGGGAAACATTGACGAGAGAGAACATCAATTGGCTGCCTCCTGCATGCCCCCACCAGGGATCGGGCCCACACCTGGGCATGTGCCCTGACCGGGAATCAAACCGTTAACCTCTTGGTGCATGGGTCGACGCTCAACCACAGAGCCACAGCGGCTGGACTGTATGTGCCTTCTTGTCAAGACTTTAAAAAACCTGTTGGCTCCTGAAGGGAAAATATGCAGTGGAAGTAACAGTATGCAAAAGAATAATTCAGGGATAAAAGGGTTCCTCTTGAAAGGTCAGTCTCGCCCTAGCTGGTTTGGCTCAGCGGTTGGAGCTTCGGCCTACAGACCGAGAGTCCCGGGTTCGGTTCCCACTAGGGGTACATACCAAACAAACAAACAAACAAAAAGGGTCAGTCTCATGTTTTAGTTCCTTGGCTTTCAGAGGAACAGGACAGAATCTATTCATCAGACAGTGATGAAGGATCAGAAGAAAAGTCTCAAGGATTACCGAGCAAAGCAGCTCACCAGTGATGAGGTAAGAGCACATTTATTCAATTCTGAAGGGTTTGCCCTGTGCCCAGGAGCCAGCTTCTAAAGGGGACTCAACCCAGGGGCACAGCAGGTGTCCACACCTCATCGAGCCTCAGCGAGATGGGCGCAGTGGCAGCACTGGGGGCGGCCCTGGCCCTGTGCACGGTGGGTGTGGGAGGGCAGTCAGAGGTGACCTCTGCTGGCTGGGGAGGAGTGTTCGCCTGTAGGAGACAGCAGCCAGGGAGAGGGCAGGGCCTGTGAGAAGGGCTCGGGGCCTTGGACATCAAGTCTTCTCTGGACAACCAGGAATAGTGCAGCGTGGGAGAGCAAGGGGCCCACCATGTTCACCGTGGTAACTGGGCGTCTTGATTACTTGGGTATAATGGAAGTGGAGGGCTATTCCATTTCCATGTTATCAAAATATTTTCCTTTAATTATTTCCTTTTCCACGTATAAGATCACAAGTGCAAAGACATTTTACATCTCAACTATACAAGTGAATCACTGTGTTACCACCTGCACCACACTAATTCCTTGTGTTTCCTGAACACTGAGCAGGCTCCACTCTGGGCTCTGGAGACAGAAGCAGACATCGCAGTAACAGGGATGTTCATGTGCACACTGGTCACTTGTATAAGCGAGGCATTCATTTTCACTCATTCGTGTAAAATATATATTTAAAACTTTAAAAGCACACAGAGTAACAGCAGTCCTTTTAAAAAACCAACCTTTAAAATACTGACTTTCAGACAGAGTACTAAGGAAGCAGAGGAACGTGTCTCGAGTGTAACGCGATAGAAATCCTCGTCAGCAGAGTGGAGGTGTCCCTCCAGCCCCGCCTGCCTCCCCCGGAAGCACGGTCCCCGTCACCCCACCTGCCGGACGCAGCGCCTGCGCACAGGGCCAGTGGGGGTTGAGTTCTAATGTGAAGGCTGGCTCTCCTGTCAGCTCCAAACCACTTGCAACAAATTTCAAGAAATGTTTGATACTGAATTTTACCTCTTACCTCTCATTTTTTCAGGTGAACCCTCCAGAAACAGGAGAGCAGGGGGTGAAGAGAAAGATGATGACAGAAGCATAAAACGTGTGCTCATTGTATGTATTGTTTTCAACAATTTGTTTTATTTTCTTTTAAACTTATCTTTATTGTTGAATGTATTACAAATGCCCCCCACTTCCCCTATTGACCTCCTCCTGCCTTCCCCACACTATTGTCTGTGTCCATTGCTTACACATACATGTATATAAGGTCTTTCTTTGGTTTATCTCTTCCCTCCCCCTTTGAGGTTCATCAGTCTAACAACCAATTTCAACAGTTTGTTTTAAAATGATAATGAAATGTTTTGTTTGATGAATTGAGTTGCTTTTGCATAATCCTAGTTGTGAATAAAAAATGTTCAGAACTTGCCCTGGCTGGTTTTCTCAGGGGTTAGAGCGTCGGCCCATGGACCAATGAGTTGCAGGTTCAATTCCAGTCAAGGGCACGTATCTCGGCTGCGGTTCGTCCCTGGCCCTGGTCAGGTCGTGTGGAGGCAACCAGTTGATGTGGCTCTATCACATCAATGCCCCTCCCCCCCCCTTCTATCTGATAATAAATAGAAAAATATCCTCAGGTGAGGAATTAAAAAAAAAAATGTTCAGAACCTGCCCTCTCTGCCCCACACACCTTGGCAGAGCTTGGTAAAGAAAATGCCCTACCTATCAACCTGCTGAATGTTGAGAGAAAAATGGTCAAGGTTTACAACCTAATATGTGCAGGCAGAGAAAGAATGCACTGAATACCATGAACCACCAAGGTAACTTGGGAGCGAAGTCTCCAGAAACCAAATTCAAAGTCATGGAAGATGGCGATTTAAATGACAGAATTCAAGACTTGCGATTATGAAGAAACTCAACGACATACAAGAAAACTCAGGCAGTTCAATGATTTTTAAAAAGTCAAAGTATATAGGATATTTGATAAACTTTATTGAAATTATTTATTCCAGTATGAAGTGGTAAGTTCTAAATGCCTATAGTACATATTCTTCAAATGAAACTTCACTGTGCCATTATGAACCAGGTTGATAATGTTTCATAATATTTAGACATCCGTATTATAAAAAATTTAACATGTCTATATTTATAAAAATTGAAAAAATAAAACATCTACAGCATTTCGGATATTTTAGCATTAAAAATGTGTTTAAATACCTATTTGATGTGACAAAAAATGATGCATTGTAACAAGGTACTTTTCAAGCTTTTACACATAACTAAAACCAAATACAATTCATCCAAAAGACTAAATATATAAAGTGGGCATTATTTAAAATTACAAAGATTTTTATTCAATGTGTGTGTTCAAGCATATGCGCCAATTTTTTTTTAAAACATTTTTAAGCAGACAAATCTAAAAGGGCCCCGTGTCCGAGGCAGCGACGGGAGCTGCTCGGCACAGCCGTGTTGAGTGTTCGTGGGGGCCACGTCTTCGGTTCATACTATTCAGAAGTGAAGTGGCCTTGAGGGCAGTGTGTGTGCTAAGTAGTCAGTCAGACAGAGAAAGACAAATACTGTATGATCTCACTTATGTGAGGATCAAAAAAACCCTGAACTCACAGAAACAAAGAACAGACTGGTGGTTGTCAGAGGCAGGGGTGAGCATGAAGGAAATGGGTGAAGGTCACACTTCAGTTATAACATGACTGAGTCCTGGGATGCAATGGACAACATGGTGACTACAGTTAACAATACTGTATCATATATTTGAAAGTTGCTAAAAGAGTACATCTTAAAATTTCTCATCACAAAGAAAAAATGCTTTTTAACTATGTGAAGTGATGGGTGTTAACCAAACATTGTGGTGATCATGTCTTACTATATTCATATACTAAATCATTATGTTGTATAACTTTAACACAATGTTCTATGTCAACTATATCTTACTGAAACTGGGAATGTTATTTTAAAAAGTGGAGCGGTCTTGCTAGAAGGAGCAAGGTGGCAGCACGGAGCTGGCAGAGGCGGGGTTGCTGCGGCTCGGGACGCACCCTCCCCCTGCTGCTGGAGGGTAGGTGGTTCCTGTCTGACAAGGAGTAAGTGAGGCAGCCCTGGGAACAGAGCCAAAATGATCAAGTTTTCTGAAACCTCATGAATCTTTTCATCTTATTTTAATGATAGCAAGAGTTAAATATAATGAGTAATAGAACATGACTAACATTTTATCTAAACATTTTTCTTTTATAATTTTTTTAATACCACGGACTCCCCCTTTTTAATGAAAACACATCAGATATTGTAAATAGAAAAACAATTTACAAAGTTGTTTACATGTAACTTTTTCAGAGTGCACCTACTGCACAAAGCAAATATGTGGGTTATTTCATTCAATTGCAATTTAATGATCGAGCTATTTCTCCTTGAAATCTAATAATCTGCCAATTTTTTAAAACACAAAGTGTTTATTTGGTCCTTTAAATGACAGGCATTCTTAGAAAATGCACTTCTCCTATACTTTAGACTTCTACTAGCTACAAGTACATAGCACCAAAATCCATTTTAATAAAATCAACATTAGTAATTAATATTTTAAAAATACAATTTCATGTAAACATACTAGAAAAATTAGAACTTTGGACAAATACGAATATAAAATTTTATAAAATGGGGAGTTAAAGCTTTTAAAAAACAGCAATTTAAAACTGCAAAGAATATTCTTTGATTAGATAACCAAATACGTTTCAGTTGGTTAGACTGCAAAACTTAAGGTCTTATAACATCTTTGGTTTAAAAATCAAGATTACTTCACAAGCCTAATCTAGTACAAAATTTTGGAGCAATGTAGAAATTCCAAAAGTTAATAAAAGGATAAGAGGTGCCAGATTAAAAAAAAATGTTTTTATTGATTTTTTTTTTTGAGAGAGAGGAAGGAAGCATCAAAGTGAGAGAGAAACGTTGATGGGCTGCCTCCTGTCCACCCCCTACGGGGGACCAAACCCGAAATCCTGAGCACATGCCACGACTGGGAATCAAACAGGGACCTCTCAGTCCATGGGACGACACTCAATTCACTGAGCCACACCGGCCGGGCTGGGGTGCCAGATTTTTAAAGATCAAAGTAAACAGCAGTTTTCTCCCCTGTGATTACAATTCTTGAAAGATTTTTCTGTATTCAATCAGATGAATGTTACCTTTAAAGTTATTTATGAAGAACTCTTTTCTTCAATTATATAATGAATTATTGTAGCTCAAGACTAGAATGGTATAAGCCAAACACCCAACTTCTTCATACTCAAGATATTACCCATAAGTACAATATACAATTTCAGGTACGGTCTCGCCTACCCATGTTAAACAGAACATGCTTTTCAATGCACTGACCTACAGGCTGCTGCGAGGTAACGGCAGCCTTATTCACCTGCTCCAGGCTGGCTGCCCGCCCTGCTGGAGCCGCGCAGTCTTTAAAATCAAGTACATTTCCACAGTTGTATATGAGAAGGAGAGAGATTAAAAAAAAAAATCAGAGCCTATAACTGAAAGGAAATAGTGCAAAGTCAATCTTCGGCCCCTTTAAAATATTGGATACTGAGTTAAAGAAACAAACACCCTGTTAAGAAGGCTTATTACCACAGTACACAAGAAGCTGCCTAGCTCACTGGATAAACTGTCCACCCTAAGCCAAAGGAGGAGATATTTTGTAATTCAATTAAAAAAATAACAACAGACCTCTCTGCTCCTCTGAAATGAGATTCTTCCCTTGAGAAAAATCTCCCTGTATATGACTGAGCCAGGCCAGAACTTCCGAGGCCGGGGCTGCTCGGCCGGGGCTGCTCGGCCGGCTCTGACCCTGCCTTCGGAGCTGTGCCGCCTGTGGTCTCCCGCTCGGAGGCTGCCCTGAAGCAGGGCAGGGACAGTCTAAGCCCTCTGTCGCCCTGGCAGTCTGCGTCATTTTTCCCACCACAGTGCACTGTTTAATTGTTTGCTCTGATCCTCTGAGTAACAGGAAAACAACTTTTGTTATGAGAAATTACTTTTACACAATATGGATAAAAATATACAAGATGAAAGGATAAACACTGGATTTATGAAGAAGAGCTTTCCTTACTGGTTGGAAAATGCGTAGTGAGTGATGATTAAATACCGTTATGGAATTTCTCACTGTGCTGTGCAACACTGGATTCACAGGCAAGCCGTTTCCAATTTCCTTTACAGTAACCATCAGTATGAATGACCGTTTTGCATGATCCTCAGACTTCACCTCCATCATGTTTACTGTAAACAATAGCTTTCTTTTTTCTTTTACCCTAAATAACCTAGAGTTGCTTATATGCCTTTTACAAGAAAGAAAATAGCTTTCCTACTCAGATGCTTTTTACTATGGGGCTTTCACAAAACTTTAATAATGTCCACCTTATTAAAATGAAAAACTGTAATAAGTTTAGACATAATATTCTTTTAAAACTTGACATGTTGCTGAGACACACCAGACAAGTAATGCAGTAACCTGGACTGCATTTCTTCCTCCTAGAGATCTGCTTCTACTTCTAAACAGGACTAGGTTTTGAGTCACCTGTTTTAAAATTCTGGCATTGTGCTTTCTTGACAGAAGCAAAAAGCACACTCTTGCCAAGTTCATGTGCTCTAAAACACGACAAACTTTTCGCATCCTGCAATCGGAAGCTTCGAAGTGCCTTGTACCGACAAGGTGCACTCCTGATCAGCAACGTCCCTTTTTGATCTAAAAAAGAGATTGGTCCTTAAAATGTTCATATTATTCTACATAAGTGAATTCCTAAACTTTCTTGTAATTGTGGTTTTTTTTAAAAACCAAGACTCATCATAAACCCCTCAATTAAGCTAAATTAAAACTGATTTTAACAGAAAGCAGAAATAATGTTTTAAAATATAAAATATTACCTACTATTGATTTTACAATTTGAAACTGGTAACTTAAACTAGAAAAAATATATATTTAAAAAAAAAAAAAACAAAGAAAGATTTCCAGTCTTTTCCCTCCTACCCAGGAAAATTTTATATCTGATATCGCCAACATGAGTCCTTGACCTTTCGAAGTCTTCCAAAGGTTGTACCTTGGTGGACTTACTGGTGGTCTCCTTCAACTCGTCTCTTGCGAACTGTGAAAAAAATAAAGGATGTTAGAAATCCCTGTTTCTTTGTATAAATTTAACTTGCTTGTTATGAACAAGTTTCTATATAATCCAGCTATAGTTGTACAAAAATGAAAGGTCTGTTTCCAGTTCACATGGTCATTACAGTAAAAAATTCACACCCTTCTTCCTGGTCATTCACCTGTGGAGAAGTGAGGGCTTCAAAATGAGAAGCACATGCCCTAAGCTCCCCTGTGCTTACTGAGCACACGTTAGCCATCATCTTCGTGCACTGTGCCTGTCTCATCTGTTCATTAAAAAAGTTTATAGCCCTGCTGCTGTGGCTAGGCTGGTTGAGGTAGCAGGTTCAATTCCTAGTCAGGGCACATGCCCAAGTTGCAGGCTCGAGCCCCAGTAAGAGGGGTGCAAGAGGCAGCCAATCAATGTTTCTCTCTAATTGATGCTTCTCTCTCTCCCACTCCCTCCTTCTCTCTCAAATCAATTAAAAATAAATAAATAAAAATTTATATCTCCATTAAAAATGTTTAATACATTACTGTGTTAAATTTTGAAAGGCCACTCAGGCAGCTGGGATTAGAAAGTATTAAAAGCATTCGCCATGTTCTTCTGATTGGGCACTATGATTTATTTCCTTAGCCTGTTGAAAGAACATAGCAGAAACGGCTTTGTCATTCATTTTTAAAATTGACTTGCTACTGCTCTCCAAATTTTCCTTCTCTTTTCTCCTACAAAATGAACTGGTTCAGGGCTCTGACAAAACAACAAATGCAGAGTAATGAAAATCTTAGACCCTGGTAATGTGGTCAGGTCATAGCTGGCTACCACAAACTTTGGCTGCCAGAGGTCACTCAACTAGTTCAGCTGACGGAGTAAAGAAAGGTGCACCTGAGCCCCGCCAGTGAGGCTCATGGACTGAGCAGCGTTCCATGGACCGAGAGGTCCCAGTTTGACTCCCAGTCAGGGCACATGCCTGGATTTCAGCTTGATCCCTAGCAGGGGGCATGTAGGAGGCAGCTGATCGATGTTTTTCACATCAATGTTTCTCTCTCTCTCTCTAAAAATCAATAAAAACATAAAAAAATTAGAGAACAGTGAATGTATTTGAGGACTCCCTCCCCCAGCCTCTTCATGGACTGGTGACCCTAAACCACGAGGCTGTGCTCACTGGTAGCAGGGCACGGTCTTCAGCTTCAGGACCTTGCTACCTTCGCTGTTACCTATCAGCCACCAGAGTGCATGTCCCAAGAGCCATCGGGCCAGGGCTCCTCCGCATAGTGGCCAAACCCAATTCAGAGAGGACGAAAAGCACAGGTTCCGGAGTCAGCAACAAACAAATGTGAATCATGGCTCTATGTCGCTTTTTTGTAGTGTGTTTTTCCCCAAGAAAGTTAACCTCTCTGAGTCGCAACTCATCCTCCATAACAGAAGAATGAGATCTGTACCCCGTGGCTGTGCATTTAGAGGCACGACGAGCTACTTAGCGTACCGAGAACATGTAAGTGCTCGATGAAGAGTCCTCACTTCCCCGCCCACGGCAGTGGGGTCACAGGATGGTCCCGAGGCTCTGGTAAGCCATCTTTTTGGGGTGAGGAAAGCCAATTTAGCTTTTATAATTAGAGGAGTTATATTATGCATTATTGATTTTGATACCCTTACCAGCAAGTTCTCTGGTTATGTGAGATTTTTGGTCTATGAATTTTATACTCTCTTCTGTCTACGGAGGCAGGCAAACCGCCCTTGTTCAGCTTGAACAGAGGAATGAAAAGCCACACCAGGTGCACCTGGCCACCTGGCCAGGCTACGGGAGCTCTGCCCTCACACTGTTCTCACTGCTAGCTTCTGCTCCTGGCCTTCAATAGATGAGACCAGACTCAAATAATGTGCATAAAAGCTTGTCCAGCCATTGGCTGAGTGCTAGCTAGAAAATAAAAACCAGAAGGACAAACATATGAAGGCCCCATGAACATTTTTATACTTATCGACTTAAATACTCCCGACCCTAATCTCAGTCCCTGTCGAAAAAGCACAAGTTTCCTGTGTTTGCTGAAATACTAAGGGGGAAAAATAAATAAATGGAGACTTTAGTCCTCAAAATCAAACCTACTTCATGTATATAGATCACTGAAAAGTATAGAAATATCTGAGAGGCAGACCAGATAATTGTTTAAGGTTGACCATTTCCAAGAAAATAGTGAATTGTGTGGCTGGATTTTGATGTTACTGGTAGATCGTCTCAGATGTCAAAATCTATGTTATAAAAGAAAACTAAACATGTATTATAAACAAGACTTACAGGAGAGTGGAGCAAATAAAAACTGTAGGAAATTATGAAGTTAGCTGGTGTAAAGATAGGAATATAAGACTCAAAGTTCAACAGAATATTGCCAATGACTGTGCTGTTTTAACTGTCTTAGCTGGAGAGATGGTGAGTAGGTAGGATTATTTCAAGGAACAGTAGAAACTAAGAAAAAGTGGAAGAGGGAAAGACGTTATCCAAATCAGACAACAAAGATCTGATATACTCCCATTTGCAAGGCGAAGAAAAATGATATGACCAAGAGATTCTGTACAAGTTCTGAGTCTTGTTCTTTGATCTCTCTCTCCAGAGACTACACATTACACTGCATGTAAAAAAACATGTCTTCAGGCTTCCACCCTGGCCCACAGGCAGAGATCGAAGTGGAGGGCTGAGAAAGACCAAGCCAAGGGTGCTGGAGCACAACACAGCAGAGATGGAGCAAAGGGCCGCTCGGCCTCCTCGCTGTCACTCGGTGCCACTGTCACCTTCCAGCAACTCCTCGGTTCAGCCTCCAGGTGAGAGGTTTAGAAATTTGGCCCCGTTATCAATTCTTTGGCAATTTTTGTCCAAAACCCACTCCACTAATATAACTTCTCAACATTTCATGATCAGCTGATTGCACAAAGTTCTCCTTAACCTCATATCCTCTCTATCACCAAAAGTAGTAAGAATTGCTCTGGAACTGTCATTTGGATCATGCTCATGCGTTCAGTTGCCTATGATGGCTCACAAACGCGTCCCATACAGAATCAAAGAAATCTAAGTTGTTTACCGTGTGATCTTAGTGCCCTCTTCCTGCAGTTCCTTCTGAATCTGCTGACATTCCTTTTTCACTGTTAGCATCAAGCAGCGCGTACTTAGGAAAGTTTATTCTGGAGGCAGCATCCTGCCATGACAGCCAGTTCTCAAAATCTGCAGGCTCTCCTCAGCATACAAATAACCTGCCTGCTCCCAAATCTGAGCTGCTCTCCACGCAATGCCCCACGCCAGGAACGTCCGTGTTCTCACTTCAAGCCGGAGAATCTAGTCTAGGTAAGAGTGAAACAGCCCTGGGGGAAGGCGGGGAGGCCACAGCACAGGGCCGTTTGCTTTCTCTCAGTTCTGCTTCGTGTCCGACCACAACTTTAACATGAATTCTGTCACATATGGCCAAGGACAGCTACTCAGCTGCTCCGTGTCAACACAGAGCAGCCTAGGAAATCATTTTTATCTGTTTCCTCACCTTCCATCTGCCAGAAGTCCCCTCACTCACTTCTTATAGAAACCTGGGCGAAGTGCTGGGCGGAAGAGCACAGCTGCGGAGGCCTCGCCCAGGCTGGGTCCTGGCGTGGACATGGGCGCTCACTGTGCTGCCCTCCTGTCCAACAGCGGCTGGGACCACCTGTCTGCTGGACACACTGGTGACAGATGGTTGGGGCTACAAATTTTTTTGGGGGGATTCTTGGATAACTAAGGTAGTTTCAGAGGTTGCTTTGGCTTGTTTATGGCTATTTAGTTACCAGAAAATTATACTTTAAGCAGGGTTCAAATTCTATCACTTACTTTACTCAATAAATCTGTATTAAGTACCTACTATTGTCAGAGAGCTGTGGATTCAACAGAGACATTGCTCTAGCTCTCAAAAAGCTTAGTCTTTGAAAATAATTACAATAAAGTATAACTAAATTACTAAGTAAAAACTTTTTAGAGCCAATAATCTACATGTTCTTGAAACTCTCCAATTATTTGTGTACTTCAGTCAGACTTGAGAAACACAACTCTAAAAAGCAAAATTAAACACCTGAAGGAAAATATCAAAACCAATTAGCATGGCTTTGCAAACTACATCTGCAATAAAAAATACATCAATTTCACCTTTTAAAGAGCAAGAGGCAAAAATCTCCTATAGGAAACTACAGTCAGCAAAGAACAGAGAGAGTTTGAACTAATACTTTTCACAGTGATCGGGATTAATGGAATGCAAGCATATTTCTTCTGCTCTAGAAACTTTTAAAGAATACACATTCAAAAAAGTGCTGGCGAGGATGTGGAGAAAAGGGGACTCTAGTCCACTGCTGGTGGGAATGCAGACTGGTGCAGCCACTATGGAAAACAATATGGTGTTTCCTCAAAAAATTAAAAATTGAACCAGTGATCCCACTTCTAGGAACATATCCTAAGAAGCCTGAAACACCAATCAGAAAGAATATATGTACCCCTATGTTCATGGCAGCACTATTTACAATAGCAAAGATCTGGAAACAGCCCAAGTATCCATCAGTAGATAAGTGGATAAAAAAGCAGTGGTACATATACACAATGGAGTACTATGCAGCTGTAAGAAAGAAAGATCTTTTATCCTTTGAGATGACATGGAGAGACCTGGAGAATATTATACTAAGTGAAACAAGTCAATCAGAGAAAGACAAATACCACACGATCTCACTTATTTGTGGAATATAATGAACAAAATAAGCTGATGAACAACAGATCCAGAGGCATGGAAGTAGAGAACAGACTGACAAACCTCAGTGGGGGGATGGCGAGTGGGGGTGGAGGTGCGGGGTGGGAAGAGATAAACTAAAGAACTTAGATGCATATATGCATAACCAACGGACACAGACATCAGTGTGGTGAAGGTGGGGGCGGGGGTGCACGAAGAGGAGGATGTCAATGGGGAAAAAAGGAGGGACATCTGTGATACTTCCAACAATAAAGATAAAAAAATTAACCAGAAAAAAATACAAATTCAAATATGGCTGAAGCTTGAAAGAACTGCGTTGTTTTGCAATGTTACTCCCTTTAGGAAGTTTCAATTGTCTAAATGCATCTTTTAAAATATTTCAATGACAAACATCAAACTTAAAAGAAGAGTTGATATTTGGAAATATGTAGAAACAAAATTGTGAGCATCACATTCTTTAATTCAGCCTTGGCTGGAAATCTTAGTTCAAGCAGCAGCCACGGCCGCAGCAGTTCAACAGGAACCATGAAACAGTGGAGACACGGGCCCAGATGTGGGCAGTGAGAAGGCAAGTGCCCGTGACAGCTGTGTTAGGGAGACCTAAGTACAGCAAACGTTAATAAATCGCCTGTAAAACTCGGGTTAGAACTATAATTATTCTATATTTTATCATATAAAGTTGAGTTTGTTTGATAAAAAGGGCAAAAATGTTACTGTAATGTTGAAATCTTTTTTTTTGTAACAGCTCCAAGGATTGACTTATAGCTGAGAAGAAAACATTTATTATAGGAAGTATAACTGTTTGTTGTAGAAAACCATCCACTCAAAGCTGTGAAACATGATTGTCAGAGGAGGTAGATTTTACCCACTAACCAACCCCATAACCTCACTTAAAATGAATGCTGATCCAATCAGTATAAAAAGGACCATGCATTTAAGAAACACAGGCCAAGTAATCTCACTGTTAAAATTTATTTTAAAAGTATAAAAAAGCTTCTCCAATATATAAGCTTAATGGCACAATTCAGAAATTTGATTCAATCCTGCATGCCTTACCTAAGTCATTGTTTTTCGTTATAGCATTAGCTGCCCTGGTTCGGGGTCCCTGCTGTGTAAACTGATATCCAAACTTAAGGATATTTGTATTTTCCTCAAGCATCTTGGCCATTTCCAATTCTACAGCCGTCCCCAACTGCTGCCTCTGGAATAATTAGAAATAAAGAATAGTTGTAATAAATTAGATCAAAATACTTTCAAAGTAAGTCAAGACTGAGACATTGAGGTATATGCTGATTCTGTTGATCGTTTAAATTTTTCCCAATTCTTATTAACATACATGAGAGAAACAAAATTTTAAATTTCAGTATAAACCATACAGACATAAAAAAATTGTGGATTACCATAAGAGATACCCTTCATACCCACAGGATGACTATGATTAAAAAAAAAAAAAAAAAGAAACCAGAAAATAATAAGGGTTGGCAAGAATGTGTTAAAAGTGGGACCCTCAGAAATGCTGGTAGGAATGTCAAATGGTCCAGTTGGTGTGGAAAACAACTTGGCATTCCTTAAAAAGTTAAACCTAGAGTTACCACATGACCTAGCAATGCCACTTCTGGGTACATACCCACAAAAATGAAAACACATATTCATACAAGAACCTTGATGGCCCTGGCCAGTTTGGCTCAGCAGTTAGAGCGTGGGCACGCAGACCAGAGAGTCTCAGGTTCAGTCCCCGGCCCCAGTTGGGGTTGTACAGGAGGCAACCAGTCGATGTGTCTCTCTCACATCGATGTTTCTCTGTCTCTTCCTCCTTCTTTCCCTCCCGCTCTATCTGAAGATAAATGTAAAAAATGTCCTCAGGTGACGATTAAAAAAACCTTGATGAACGTTCACAGCAGCTTTATTCCTAATATTAAAAAAGCAGAAACAACCCAAATGTAACAATATAATTTAGCCATAAAAAAAAGTACTCACATATGCTATAACATGGATAAACCCCCAAAACATTTTGCTAAGGAAAAGAAGGCAGACACAAAAGACTACATATTATACAATTCCATTTATATGAACTGTTCACAACAGACAAACACATAGGGATAGAAAGTAGATTAGCGGTTGCCAGGGGCTGGTGGGAATGGGGAATAGGGAGCGACGGCTGATGGGTATGGAGCTTCTTTTTGAGATGATAAGAACGTTCTGGAATTAGACAGTGGTGATGGCTGCACAACTCTATGAATATACTAAAGACCTATGCTAAAAATATTAAATTAATATTCTGGATACCACCAATGTCCTCCCATCCCCTTTCAGGCCACCAGCCTTCCACAAGCCTCCTGAGTCCCCAAGCCCCACACAGCAGTGCAGGGTGTAGCTTCCTCCAAGTTGCTGCTGCGGAACACTGACCTGATTGTCGATCTTGAGCTCTGTCAGGGTCTCATTATCTCTTAAAGCATCAATCAGTGCCAGAACCCCAGCTCCTGTAATAAAGTTGGACTCCATATTTAAGCTCTTCAAATTTTTGTTCACTCTCAGCATATCTGCAAAAGCCTAGAAGTAAAAGAAAATATCTGGAGATTAAAATTTGACAGCACCTATTACACACTGTACATGCCATAGACAAATATACTAATTAGCATAACTGCCTTCACGTTTCTCATTAGATTGTTTTAACTGCACACCTACCTCCCAGGACCCATTCTGCACATGTGCCCTGTCACACTCTTTAGATTTTTTTGCCACGTGTAATTCTCTGTTGGTAACATTTTCCACTGCTATTTACATTATGTTCATTCGCACCCTTTGTCATGTTTCTTTCTCCTGTCCTCATCCTTTCTGTCAGTTTCTGGGTAGGACTAACTTCATCAATGTCTCTTTGGAACATCTTTTCTTATTCGGGTCTTGGTGCAGCTGGATTACTGTGGAGCCAAATGGGGGTCAACTAAGGACTAATTTCCAAGGCAGAGACCAAAAGGTATGCCCGAGGCAGAAGATCAGAAAAGGAACACAGATAACTAGACCTGCAAGAGCACAGAGAGTATGGAGAAGAGGACGCTGACGATATATTCCGTTCCTCAAGGAATGCTCTGTGTTTAGTCTGCTTCCGTTCCTATCTTACAGGATATGGTAGTGCCAGGCATACACACCATATTAATTTATTCACTAACAGAAACCTGTAAGTGAGAAGAAGAGGAAAAGGAGAGGGAGGGAGAGAGAGAGGGGGAAGTCAGCATATGAGTGAGTTTATATAAAATAGCCCCTTACAGGGGTCAAACTCCAGAAAACACAAGGTCAAACTCCAGAAAATATGTGGAAGATCCAGCTTCAAGTTAAAGTCAACATAAAGAAAGGCAACGGGGGGAAAGAAATACGAAAAAGAACTTAGAACAGATTATCTACACACTTGTACTTTCCATTAGCGACAACTAGCTATGTGACCTGGAACCAATTCCTTAGTCATCCTCTGTACATACATTTACTCAAATATTACCGATGGCTTATTATTTGGTAAGTGCTTCTGTGTAGATCCAGAAATAAAACATGCCTGATGGAACTTGCATTCCAGTGGGCAGCCCAGATCATGAGTGAGCAAGATGCAATGTTAGAGGTAGCAAGGCCACGGGGAAGACAGAAAGGGAAAGCAGGGTAAATGGGAGGTACAGAGGCAGGGCTGGGGTTGCTATTTTAGATACTGTGGTCAGGAAAGGCCTCAGCTAAAAGGTGACGTCTCAGCAGACTCCAAGCGATGAAGTGAAATTATGTGGAATATCTTCAGGGACAAAGTTCCAGGCAAGAGGAGCAAGTGAAAAGGCCCTGAGCTGGGATCACACATGGCATGTCCAAGAGCAAGAGGCTGTACGGCGGGAGCAGAACGAGAGGGCGAGGAGAGGAGGTCTGCTCATGTAGACCTTGTAAGGCCATTTGAAGATTTTGATTTTTACTTGAACTGACATAGGGAGCTTCTGGAATGTTCTGAGTATAGAAATGAGATAATTAAGTTTTAAAAGGATCACTTTTGATGTGTGTGAAGAGTTGGCTTTGGGTGGGGAAGCAATAATCCAGAGAAGAGGAAGCAGCGGCTACACCAGGACAGGAGTTGTGAAAATGGTGAGAAGTGGTTGGATTCTAGAAATGTTTTGAAGCCAGGGATGGATATACACTTACGGCTCTGAGAAAGGAAAATCAAGGGTGACTCCATTTCTTTTTGTCTTGAGCAAATGAAAGAATGAAGTTGCCATTTATAGAGAAAGGAAAAAGTGTGAGAGAAGCAGGGATGAGATGCAAGTTAGGAGTCTGGACTGGGATTTACATCTGAGATACTCACTAGACACCCAACTAAAGCCATTAAGTAAGTAGCTGGACAAGAATATGGAGTTCAGGGGAGAGGTATGAACTGGGTAATAACACTGATAATCATCAGCATACATAGATAATATACAGCAATGAAACAGAATGAGATCACCCAGAAAATGAACGCAGACAGAGAAGAGGGCCTACGACCGAGCCGAGCTGTTCCAATGCTCAGAGCTCGGAGAGCAGAGGAGGGACCAGCACAGGGACAAGGAAGGAATTTCCAGAAGAGGCAGGAGCAGAATCAAAGGGAGTGATGTCCTCAAGGCCAAATGAAGAAAAAGATTCACACCATGATCAAGGGAGAATTTACCCCAGAAATGCAAGGTTGATTTAATATACAAAATTTAATCAATGTAATATACCACATTAATGGAATAAAGGACAAAAACATGATCATCTCAATAGACACAGAAAAAGCATCTGATAAGACCCAACATTACAGATCCATAAACAGAATCTTCTGCAGATGGTAAATTGCTATGGAACTTTATGTACTGACATGAAAAGATCTCTAAGACATATTGCAGAATAAAAAGACTGCAGAACAGCATATATTGCATGACTCCATTTATGTTTTTAAAAATTACAGAAAGGAAATATAAGAAAAAATAAACATAAAGAGCAATAAATCATGTACTACTTAACACAGAGCTAAACATCAATTGAAAAAAAAAGAGTAAATCTTGCTCATAAAATCAGTTTAGCCATCTCTGTAACTCTGGTACGTAGTTATAATTTCAATATTATCAACAGCAACTTACAGAGAATGAACTGATGAGTGCCAGAGGGGAGGGGGATTGGAGGTGCAGGTGAAAAAAATGAAGAGATTAACAAGTACAGACTGGTAGCTACAAAATAGTCATGGAGATATAAAGTACAGTATAGAAAATATAGTCAATAATATTGTAATACCTATCTATGGTGCCATTCCTTTCTCACAGGACATAGTAAGTTTATATAAAATAACCCCTTAGGCCCTGGCTGGTTTGGCTCAGTGGTTGGAGTGTCGACCTGCAGACTGAAGGGTCGCTGGTTGTATTCCAGTCAAGGACATGTACCTGGGTTGCAGGTTCGATCCCTGGCTCCAGTCTGGGTCATATGGGAGGCAACCAATCGATGTTTCTCTCTCTCTCCTGCTCCCTCCCTGCCCCCCAACCCCACTCTATCTAAAAAAAAAAATCAATGAAAAAATATCCTTGGGTGAGGATTAACAAAAACAAAAACAAAAAACAGGCCCCCTTAGCCCTGGCTAGTTTTGCTCAGTGGTTAGCGTGTCGGCCTGTAGTCCAGAGAGACCCAGGTTCGGTTCCCGCTAAGGGCACGTACTTCAGTTGCAGTTTGTCCCTGGCCCTGGTTGGGCCCTGTGGGAGGCAGCCACTCGATGTGTCCCTTTCACATCGATGTTTCTCTCTCTCTCTTCCTCTTTCCTTCCCACTCTATCTGAACAAAAAAATGGAAGAATGTCCTCGGGTGAGGATAAAAAATAAAATAGCCCCCCTTAGACTTCCTGGGGGGATCCCTTTATAAGTTATATAAATGTCTAATCACTATGCTGTACACTTGAAACTAATATAATATTGAATGTCAACTGTAATTGAATCATTTTTTTTTTTAAAGTAGCTTACTTACAATTGCAACAGGATCATTGCTCCGTGTGGCTGCAAGACTTAAACATTTCACATGTGTGTTGGTTTCCAAAGCCTTCGCAAAATCTTTTAGGGTTGGAATCGGAATATTCTTGAAAGACAGTAATGTGAAACATTACATTTGGTTTTAGGGCATTCAGTCCATTAATAGAATAAATATTTGTATTTACCCTTTCTCACGAAAATGTTCTCAGAAATTATATAAACACACAACAGTCTACAAATGAAAATATCTATATCCATATCTATTTGACTTCTCTAACATGGTTCATCTGTACAAACTACTGACCAGAGCAGAGGACATATCACCATTTCTCTAGTATTTAGATTAAAGAAGCTCTTGCTATTCTACATTTAATTATTCAAATTATAAGAAGTCAACACCGGAGTATCCAAAGTGGATCCATTTTCTACAAAGAGAAAGATGTGCAGTCCACCTCTAGTGAGTATGATTCATGAGGAAGATGACATACTGGTCTTAGTCCCTTAGTTTAAACTACAAGGTACTAAGATAGATTAACTCTACACTACTTAAAATGTGGAAAGATAGCCCTGGCCAGTTTGGCTCAGCAGTTAGAGCATTGGCCTGTGGACCAAAGAGTCATGGCTTCGATTCCAGTCAAGGGCATGTACCTCAGTTGTGGTTCGGTCCCTGGCCCTGATTGGTGTCGCATGGGAGGCAGCCAGTTGATGTGTCTCTCTCACATCGATGTTTCTCTCTCTCTGTCTCTCCCCCCCCCCATCCCCACTCTATCTGAAAATGGAGAAAAATATCCTCAGGTGAGGATTAAAAAAATTTTTTCCCAAAAGAAATAGTTCTAGAAGGCACTAATTTTCCCTTTCAGTCCCAAGACTTTAATTCCCTGCAGCCTGGTTATTTTCAGATCATTACTGCTGATTTACAGAGACTTATGAAAATAATTTTTAATAAATGAATAAAATTAATAATCAGCTAGGGATATTAGCTTTTTCCAAGGCTTTCTTCCACTCACAGGAAGGAACACCCACTGAAGGAGTGCAGAGGTCTTTCCCCGAGGTTCTTATAATTTCCAGATGTTTCCTCTATCCTCAGTTCAGATAAATCAAGACTTAATACTCAAGAGAAATGAAAACATGTTCTCGCAAAACATATGACTGCATGTGAATGTGTACAGTGGCTTTATTTATAATCATCCCAAAATGGAAGCAACCCATACATCTATCAACTGATGAATGGGAAACCAAATTGCACTATATCCAAACAACAGAATACTACTCAACAATACAAAGGAACAACTATGATATAAGCAACAACATGGATAAATCTCAAATGCATTATGCTAACAGAAAAACGCCAGATGCAAAAGGCAACATACTACATGGTTCCATTTATACGACATTCTGGAAAAGGCAAAACGACAGGGAAAGAAAACAGCAGTGATTGTCAGGCCAGAGCTGGGGACAGAGAATGACGACAAAGGGGTGTGCCGTGTTCTACATCTGATTGTGCTAGTGGTTGTACAACTGTATGGGTTTGTCAAAACTCACAAGGGAGAATTTTCCTTTATATAATTATACCTCAAGAAACCCGATTAAAAAAACAAAACCCAAAAGACTAAATGCTCTTAAAAGTAGGCAGTACTTTAAAAACCAGAGAGTTACACTGACAGTCCAGTAGGATTTACATTTTTATTTATTTTTTTAGGATTTACATTTTTGTGTGATAGTCTTTATAAAGCAAGTCAGAAAAATGCCACATTAATTTTTAAAATATGAAGGAATCCGTGGAGCAAAAATTTTACCTTCAAGTAGAAAGAATTATACTATATCAAAACTGCCCAGCTCTATCCTGGATTTACCTGACCCAGCAATTCAAAACTTTGCCTAGCACACCTACCTTTATATTATTCAAATTAACTTCAATAAGACGAACATCGTTTTCTTTAATTCTCTTTAAACTCTCTTCAACGTTGGTTGGATTTGGTGGCTCATCAAATACTGGGAGGATCTTTTCACCTTTTACCACATCTGCAGTAACCAGTGAGAAGAGCAAGGGCCTCAGTGGTTGATACTATTACAGTGGATGCATATATCAACCTGGTAACACACAGACCACGAGCACATGTGTGCCCACATGCACGCACACACACACTCAGTAGGACTATTTTAAAGTTTCTTACCCACAATTTCTAAAATACCCTCTGTGTGTTAACACATAAAGTGCTCGAATAAAATTTTATTGAATATATACCAAAGACAATTCAACATTTTATTTACAATATGCAGCCTTCAAAAACAAGTATTTTTACTGCCTCTTGGTGTATTACAAGATATCTTTACCACTAAAATACATTTGATAACACAGGCCAATGATCCCATTTATTTTTAGCAATGTTGAAGATAAAGTTCAAATATGATCAAATCTATTATCTTGCATGATTTCTCTGAGATCTGCTAGTAATTACTGAAAAGGCAGTGAATCACAGACTTGAAGAAACAGCCTCGATGAGAAGAACAAGGTGACAGGGAATACTACACAATAGGAAAGGGGGAGGACTCTCTATTCGGAAGACAAGCAGGAGTAAGAAATGGGGAGACACAGAGAGGTAACAGTACACAGAGGAGCTACTGAGGCAGAAACTCCAACAACTACTTCTTTCCTTCACTCCTATCCCCAATCCTTCACCATGTATACTACACTCACACATGAGCAGGACGCAACTATGCAAAGTTGAAAGAGGACCTAGAAGTCTTAAACCCTCTAATGAGATACATCTGCTTTGAGGTGTGTGTGTGGAGGTCTATGAACACCTATAACAGGAAAACTTTTATGGATAAATTTTCTGGGGAAAACACCTATAGCATCAGATTCTCAGAGAGTCAGATGACCACAAATGTTAAGAACAACTGACATGGAAAAGAATGGCAGGGTCTTCCCATCTGCCCTCCTCTATTTTTTTTTTTTATCATCCTCACATTTTTCCATTTTTTGTTTAGGTAGAGTGGGAGGAAGAGAGAGAGAGAAAACATCGATGTGAAAGGGACACATCGAGTGGTCGCCACCCGCACAACCAACCAGGGCCGGGGACAAATTGCAACTGAGGTACGTGCCCTTAGAGGGAACTGAACCCGGGTCTCTCCGGACCACAGGCCGACGCTCTAACCGCTGAGCCAAACCGGCCAGGGCTGCCCTCCTCTATCTTTTAGGAGCAAAACTCATCTTAAGACAAGGTATCCAACAAATTCCTCTAAAAATACCTTGTTCTTTTCAAACACACACACGCACATGCAGCAGATCAACTTAGATGAAGGTCTGAAAATTATTTTCCTGAGAACAGTTGAGAGATCTAAATCTATTTAGCCTGAAAGTATACAGTAAAAGAAAGTATGTTCGTCCGGCCGGTGTGGCTCAGTGGTCACCAAGAGGTCACCGGTTGGATTCCCGGTCAGGGCACATGCCCAGGTTGTGGGCCCGATCCCCAGTGTAGAGCATGCAGGAAGTGGCTAGTTGATGTTCTCTCTCATTGATGTTTCTATCTCTCTCCCTCTCCCTTCCTCTCTCTCTGAAAAATCAATAAAGAAAAAAAAATTTTTTTTAAGTATGCTCATTGCCTTCAGATTTATCTTGTAGAAGAGAGAAATTTCAGGTTGTTCTGAAAGGCTGGGTTGGAACATGTGTAGACTGGCAGGAGGCAGCATTTGGTTCAATACAAAGACCTTCCTGACAGAGCTCTGCTGCAGGACAGAGAGGGCTCCCGCTCACGTAAGTGCGGCAGGGCAGTCTCCTTCTCCTAACCGTAGGCCAACGCTCTAACCGCTGAGCAAACTGGCCAGGGCAGGGCAGTCTTCTTCAAGATGGCAGATCAAGGGGCTGGAGAAGAGCTACCTCACTGAATGCAGAGCTGAACGAGTTCTTCCTCAATTTTAAATTTCCTAAAAGCCAAATGATTCCCTTCCCCACTCCACAGAATGTATGTACCTCAAGAGCCCCGCTCCCTAATGAAATAACGGATCCAGTCTACAGGTTGCTGAAACCGTTATGAAAGGTTCACTGGCACTTTAAATGGATGGATCAGGCTGCCAAAATTTTAACACACTGATCACTCTTAAGACATTCCCCAAAGAGATATGACCAGACATGATATGCTTCCTAATGTGATTCAATCACCACTTACGAAGCATTCTTTCCAAAAAACTGCACCTGAATCTGATCAAGCCTCTAGACAATAAATAACAGTTTACAGAGACACAGGAGATAGAGAAACCTGAAACCTGCACAATGATACCACAAGGCTGCCATCAGCCAAATCCAGAATGTGGAAAATTTTACATAACCAACAGCCCAGGTTCTTAAAAATGGCATGAAGGGGGAAAGAGGTTGAGGAGGGGAACTATTATTAAGAAAAACTGAAACCAAATGCAATTTGTGTGATCCTTATTTGGATCCTGATTTGAACAAACCAACTGTGAAGTGATGTTTTTGAGCGAACAGGGGAAATCTGAACATGGACTGGATATTAGATGGTAAGGAATTACTGTTAATTTTTAAGTTTGATAATGACATGTTAAAAGGGTGGTGTGGCTCAGTTGGTTGAGCATCATCTTGTGCACCGAAAGGTTGCTGGTTCGATTCCTGAAACCCACATGCCTGGGTTTCAGGCTTGATAATCCAGCAGGGGTGCCTGAGGAAGGCAACTGACAGATGCTTCTCTCTCACATTGATGTTTCTCCTTCCCTCCCTTCCTCTCTCTAAAAATCAATACACATTTTTCTAATAAAAGAAAAGTCTCTATTTGGGAGAGATACATATGGAAATATTTATAGGTAAAGTAATACAAATGAAGAGAATTTGCTTAGAAATATTCCAGGATAAAACAAAGTAGAAGGGGTGGGCAGAGATAGAAGATGAATAATTCAAGGTTCGCAAAATGTTAAAAACTGCTGAAGCTGGGTAATGAAGATATTATTCTCTCTTCTATTATGTATACTCGAACATTTCTACAATGAACAGTTAGAAGATAAGGGGAATGGCCAAATCACAGAACATTCACAAATAGATGTCTGAAAGTGGTAGCTCTCTCTATATGTACTAACCAGGAAACATGGTATGTTACTAAGTGATATATACTATATACTACAGCATGGGTTAAAATCCTCACCACTGACTTCTGTGACATTCAAGTTAGCTACTTAATCATTCTAAAATCTCAGCTGCCTTACACGTAAATAAAGGGTAATAAATAATAATACCTATTTCATAGAACTGTTGTAAGGATTAAATAACAACAATTCATATTCAAGAGCCGTGCACAGAACATGGCCCACAGTCAGCATTCAAAAAATCAGCCAACTGTATTATTTTTGAAAAACTGAGTTCTTTTATTAACCAATGTCACCCCAATAAATTCAATAAAAAAGAAAAATTAAGTTACAAAAATTATCCAAAGTATGATGCCATTTTTGTAAACAGACTATGCATATATGTAAGTTTATCTAAACATAGTACAAAGTCTTGAAGAGTATACACCAAATTGTTAACAGGATTGGGGTCTGGGAGTAGAAGGCATAATGGCTATGAATAGGTGCTTTTACTTCTTACCTTATACACTTAGTTCTTGTTCATTCATTTATTTATTACTTTTAATTAGAGAGAAAGGAAGGGAGAAAGAGAGGAAAAAAAAACACATGCCTTGAACTGGAGACTGAACCCACAACCTGGGTATGTGTCCTGACCAAGAATCAAACACACCACCCTTTGGTGCACAGGACAACACTCCAACCAACTGAACCACACTGTCAAGGTCAGGTATTGTTTAACTGTGGCACAAAACTATATATTACTTTGATAATTTTATTTATTTATTTATTTTTATTTTTTTAAATTTTATTTTTGTTACAGATGTTTCTCCTTTTTTACCCCATTGACACCCTCCTCCCCGTCCCCCCCCGCCCCATCCCGGGCTTTGTTGTCCATGTCCATTGGTTATGCATACATGCATACAAGTTCTGTGGTTTATCTCTTCCCACCCCCCACCACTTCTGAGGGTTGTCAGTCTGTACTCTACTTCCGTGTTTCTGGGTCTACCCTATTCCTCAGACTGTTATATTCATTATATTCCATACATGAGTGAGATCAGGTGGTATTTGTCTTTTTCTGCTTGGCTTGTTTCACTTAGGATAATACTTTCCAGGTCCCTCCATGTCGTCTCAAAGAATAAGAGATCTATCTTTCTTTATCCTCACCCGAGGACATTTTTTTCCATTTTTTGCACAGATAGAGTGGGAGGGAGAGAGAGGAAGAGAGAGAGAGAGAGAGAAACATCGACGTGAAAGGGACACATCGAGTGGCTGCCACCCGCACGACCAACCAGGGCCGGGGACAAACTGCAACCGAGGTACATGCCCTTAGCGGGAACAGAACCTGGGTCTCTCTGGACCACAGGCCGATGCTCTAACCGCTGAGCCAAACCAGCCAGGGCGAGATCTTTCTTTCTTACAGCTGCATAGTACTCCATTGTGTATATGTACCAAAGCTTTTTTAGCCATTCGTCTACTAATGGACACTTCGGCTGTTTCCAGATCTTAGCTATTGTAAATAGTGCTGTTATGAACTTGAAGGTACCTATATTATTCCTAATTGGTGTTTCATGCTTCTTAGGGTATATTCCTAGAAGTGGGATCACTGGGTCAAATGGAAGTTCAATTTTTAATTTTTTGAGGAAACACCATACTGTTTTCCATAGTGGCTACACCAGTCTGCATTCCCACCAGCAGTGCACTAGAGTCCCCTTTTCTCCACACCCTCGCCGACACTTGTTTGATGATTTGTTGATGGCGGCCATTCTGACAGGTGTGAGGTGATACCTCATTGTTGTTTTAATTTGCATCTCTCTGGTGATGAGTGATGTTGAGCATTTCTTCTGTGTTTCTTGGCCATTTGTATGTCCTGTTTGGAGAGGTGTCTATTCAGCTCCTCTGCCCATTTTTTAATTGGGTTCTTTGTCTTCCTTTTGTTGAGTTGTACTCAA